GAGGGTGTGGAGCTTCTGACTGAGCAGAATCCTTTGTACACAGGAAGAACATCACTCTCTGTCAACAAACTGCAGTGTGGAGACGTTTCATTGAAACTCTCCACAGTGCAACTCTCTGATGCAGGAACATACAAATGCCTTGTACCTAAATTTAATGCAGAAAGTGTGGTGACGCTTGCTGTGGGTAAGTTTCATTTAATTTAGATTAATTTCTTCACTTTGCAATTTAGATGTGAAGAAAGACTTTAAGCAACATAGATATTGATATAGAACACTTGGGTCAGCTCCAGTAGAAAGTGGATCATTCACAGAGGCATATGAGTTGAGAATAGAAGTGCATTCATTCTGGGTAACCAAAATAGCTCTTACTTGGGCTAGAAAATACTTCCTGGACAGATATGTGGACTGAGCATATTGACATGAACATGACAAGGGAATGGCTACAGAGTCATTGGCATTCTGGTTTTCTGGCAATTAGGGCACACAACCTGACCAGTGTAGCACATGGAGCAGCTGGGTTATTAAGCAGTACAACTGGACAAATCAGAGAGATACATAACAAAAAACAAAAGTACTTAGAATCACAGGCGACCTGAGCACCCACTAAATGGGCTTTTTGCCAACCGAGGGGTATCTGGCCCCATGAGAAAAACACTTCAGCCAAGGAGGCCCTTTTAACAAGATGAACCAGAGGAAAGCTGATTTGACAAAGAACTACTTGGATAGGTACAAGTTAATTTCAGCCTATATACAGGAACTTCGAAAAGAGAAAATAGAATAAATAAGTAAGCTTATTAGAATTTTGACTAGTTAGATTTAACAGTTGATGTCACATAGCATTGTGCCTCTCTATAAGCTTAAAAGGACAATTTGAGTTAAGGTCAATAAGAGAGACATTTGGGCGAACTGTAACTATTTTAAGAATCTTTTTTTAGATATCTATTTTGGCAACTACATTTCAATATTTTGTCTTTCATTCTTTTCTTTGCAGGTTCAGTTTCCTCACCAGTCATAGAACTCAGCAATGTCAAAAATGAAATGGTGTTAGAGTGTAAATCTAATGGCTGGTATCCAGAGCCTCAGATGTTGTGGGTGTACAGTGAGGGAAAACCCATTTCTGTTGAACCTACAAAGAATGTCAGAGGTTCTGATGGCCTCTATGCTGTCAGCAGTAAAGTGACTGTGGAGAAAGGACAGAGCTACAGCTTCACCTGCAAAGTTCAACAGAAGAATATCAGTCAAATCAAAGAGACACACATCCATGTTTCAGGTAGAAATGCCTTTTTTTTATATCACTCACATTAATTTTCAGTTACAGAAAGTAGAATCTAGAACATTTTGTCTCCTTATATTCACAGGTGATCTCTTTATGGTCCAGTCTAATACTGCTGTTCACATTACCATCAACTTGGCTGTCTGTTTAATAAGCGTTGGGACAGTAGTAATCCTAATATGGAAGTGTGAACAAATGAAAACCAGTAAGTTCAAACTACATTGTACTTTTTACCCCAAGCTTAAATTATCATCAGTCCTTTTTAATGTCTAGTTTTAGTGTAACTGCCTTTAAAATAAAGGGCTAAGAAGTACAAACGTGGTTCAAATAAAAATGACACAAACACATAAACAGTTATGTTAAAGGCGCTCGAGGGGAAAAAATGGATGGAGACTTTAGAAATTACAGAGATTTACTAGCAAAATTGGAGGCTCTCAGCAACTTTACTTTTATAAAGGAATATAACCCTGTGTCCTGTGTTGTAAAGAGATGTGTTAAGACATGCAGAGTTGGTCCCATCAGTGCAGACTGACTAAGATTGCAATATCTTGACTCTCTGTTTGAATTTATAAACTAAGTGTTAATTATTGGCAAGTGATTGCCCGTCTGTCGAAGAGTAACTGGACTTACTTCAAGTCAGACTATGTTTATTTGTTGCCAGTTTGCATCCCATTAGCAACCTATGCAATTGCCTTGTGATCAAAAGTGGAGTAAAGAACACCTTCAACGTTTAGAAGACCAACTGGTTGCCACAACCACCTGCTGAATGTGTAGAAATTCCACACGAGGAAGTTGCCTTCTTATTGTTTTCCTCTAGTGTGACTGAGACATTTTGGGGGCAAAGGTAAAAATATTTGAGGAAATCACCCACTGTAAAATTATAGTTATAGCAACAATATAAATTAAAACTTTTTGTACTTCATCCTTGTTGTAGGAATTGCGACCAAAATGTTCTCACTCGTTTACTCATTTAAA